TAGGATGTCACTTTACAGTTAGGTTGGAAAGTGCTATTTCCATAACCAAGTGGTTCACAGCAGTGGCCAATTCGGAAACAGATTAGCGTCTCTATGTTTTTTCATGAATTTCAACTTTATTTTGAACTAAACGCAGATGTTTGCAGATAATGAAGCTGCCACGTGGATTAGAAGCGAAATTGCTCAGGTTATTCTGGTTCAGGTATTGTCTTTGTTTGTGAGCGTTTATCGTGGTAGTTGTCAGCCAGAAAATTGTGGGTATGGGAGAAATCAATACTGGTGACTTGAATTCCTATCTAAACGATACAAACAATCCATGTAATTATTTTTTATGGTTACAGAAAGCACAGCTCGTTGACTAATTCATTCTTTTAGTAAAACTCACTAGTCGAATCGATTTAATTCTCTTTTGGATACGCTTATTCCAGGAAGTCGAGTAGCAGCAACAGTCTACTGGCTTATGTGATTTTATTCATTATTATTTTATTAGTCCCTTGGGTCCCTAGTGGAACATAGGGCTTCAGTAGCACGTCTTCAGTGAACTCTGTTCTCTGAAGTCTTTTGAACCTCGCTCCACGACAGCCTACAAGCTCTCATTTTCTCCTCGCACCGTCTCCTCCATGTCACCCTCACCTCGAAAGCCCAACTCATCGCTTCCCATTGGGATTCCACTCGAGCAACTGGCCTGACGCGTGATGTCCCCAGTCGGCCTTCTCAAGGTATGCCCAATCCATCTCCACTTACTTCCACCGCATATTTGTTGGGTGATAGGTTCTTGGTTGCTTCGTTGCCCAGTGAGAGTTCTTTGTTGCCTATTATTTCTGGCCATCTGATCTTCAGTAACGAGCCAGAGTAGGCAGTTGTTGATGAATGTCTGTAGTTTATTGGAAATGCCTTTCGTGACGCGCCAAGTCTCTGAACCATACAGGAGCACTGACTTGACGTTGGTGTTGAAAATCCGTATCTTGTTCCGCATGCTGAGTGCAGTGCAGAAGATCTCCACGCTGGTTTCAGACTAATGAACGCCTGTCTTGCTTTTCCGATTCTGACTTAGACATCCTCGTCTGTGCCGCCGCCTGTAGTTGAAACAGTGCTTCCTAGATAGGTGGAGGAGGTTACTTCCTTTAAGTTTCTCCCGTTGACGGTGATTGGAGTTTGTTGTTGTTGTTGTTGATGGTGGTGGTGCGGTATCTTCATCACTTCTGTCTTCTCTATATTCACCTGAAGTCCCGTCTTCGCTGCCTCGCCTCTTCTGCTAACTTGTTAGTTTTCGCCTGTAGATCTTCAAGTTTATGTGACATTAGGCACAAGTCATCGGCAAAATCCAAGTCTTCTAGGTTCTTTTCCGCAGTCCAGCGTATCCCCCTCCTCTCGCTGCCTACTGTTTGCTGCATGATCCAGTCTACCACAATCAGGAATATCATGGGGGATAGTAGGCAACCTTGTTTCACTCCTGTCCTCACTTCAAAAGCATCACTGAGCTTCCCATTGTGAATTACTTGTCATGTGGCATCTTCATATAGTTGTTGAATGAGGCGGATAAAGGTTTGCGGTACTCCGTAGTATTGAAGCAGTTTCCAAATTACTTCTCGGTCGACGCTGTCAAAGGCCTTCTCAAAGTCGATGAAGTTGAGGTAGAGAGCTGATTGCCATTCTATGCTCTGTTCTATGATGAAGCGTAGCGTTGCAATTTGATCCGCACATGATCTGTACTTCCTGAATCCAGCCAGCCAGCCTGTTCCGGTCGTAGTTTTGAATCAAGTGCATCCTTTAGTCTCTCCAGGATGATGCGGCTTAATATTTCGCTTGCTTCGGGTGGACAGGAGAGTGATTCCGCGCCAGTTCTTGCAAACACTGAGGTCTCCCTTCTTCGGTAGTTTGACAAGGTAACCCTTCTTCCAATCACTAGCCAGGTACCTTCTCTTCCTTCCACACCTTCTGCAATAGTCGTGTGAGCATGTCCACTGTTGTCTCTGCGTCTGTTCTCAGTGCTTCTGGCGGGATCCCATCTGGTCCTGCTGCTTTCCCACATTTCAGTAGCTTTATGGCGTTCAGGACTTCCACTTTTGTTGGAGGATTTATGTTCACTTGTAGTTCAGCGGCTGTAGGTGGTATTTCTGGACGAAGTGCAGGTGGTGGTCGGTTCAAGAGCTTTTCGAAGTGGTCAGCTCATCGCTTCCTTTGTTCCTCTCCTTTAGTAATTAGATTTCCTTCATCTTTTACTGGTTGCATCTGTGTTGATCTCTTCCCAGGTAGTAACCTGGTTGTTTGATACAATGTTGTCAGGTCTCTCCTACTAGCACCCTGTTCTGCTTCACTTGCCAATGTGTCGTAGAAGTGTCTTTTGTCTTTGCCCGCACTCTTCTTCACCTCTTTGTCCAGTGTAGTATTTTATACGTTGTACTCGGTCCTTTTTTTCATTGTGCATCCTTGCACTGGTTCTGCTTCTGCTTCTGCTTCACCATCCTCCTCTCCTCTATCAGCTTCCATGTATCCATTGAGATCCATTCCTTATCTTCTTTCTTCTTCCTTCCTAATATGGCTGTGCAGGTTTCTTTCCACATCTCTTTCAAAGACTTCCAGTGTTCTTCCACACAGGTTTCTTCAGGGATGTTCCTCGATATCTCCCATTTTGTCTTGATGGCTGCCGTGAAGATTTCCTTTGTAGTTTCGTTCTTCAGTTTCCGTTCTGAGTGTTGTACTTGAACTGTGGCCTATCGCCACTTTCTTTGAAGGCTTTCAACTTGATTTTGAAGGTTCCTTGCACTGGATAGATAGTGAAAGGTGTGAACCTACATCTGCTCCCCTTCTTGACCTTGTGTCAAGTAGGTCGCGTCTCCACTTTCTTGAGATTGAGATAAAGTCGATCTGATTTTTAGAATGTCCTGGTGTCTGGTGAAATCCATGTCGCTAGCTTTGTGGATATCCTTGTGCTTGAACATAGTGCCTCCAATCACCAAACCGTTGAATACGCAGAATTCTGCAAACAATTCTCCATTCTCCTTCATCACCTCACCGAGCGCTTCTCCACCCATGGTTAGTTCTCTTCCTGTTTCGTCCCCTCCCACATTGGCATTCGTGTCGCCCATTAGAATTTTGATATCGCCAACTGGGGTGGGGTCTTGTCCAGTGTTGATTGAAGTTGTCTGTAGAATTCCTCCTTTTTTTCTTGCTCTGCATTATTTGTAGGTGCATAGCATTGTATGATTGTGACCTTCCTTCGTTTTGAGTTGAACCTTGCTGTCATGATCCTGCAGGAGGAGATTGGTTCCCACTGTATGAGAGCCTTCGATGCTGTTGGGGACATCATGATAGCCACTCCCTCAGTGTGCTCGTGGTTGGCGTCTGGGTGACCGGAGTAGATTGTTGATTCTCCAGTTGACAGTTTAAAGAGTCCACTCCCATTCCATCTGCTTTCGCGAATCCCAAGCACTTCGATGTGATACCTTCTCATCTCCTTTACAATCTGGGCTGCCTTACTGGGTTCAAACATGGTGCGGACATTCCATGTCCCCACGTTTACTTTCGCTTTCATCGAGAGAGAGAAGACACATCGTCCAGTTGACTTCCAGAAGGCTTTCACCAACTGGCGTCATTTCGCCTCTCCGATTCCAGCGGGGAATAATTTTGTTATTATTTTTTATATTTTGTCTGTGCTTTGAAGTTTCTTTAGCGGTTAGATTTGTTTTACGGTGTAGGGTTGCTAGCCCTATGCCCAACCTTCCCTCTTTACCCGGGCTTAGGACCGGCTAGTAACTAGTAAACTAGTTAACCAGGCGAGGTTGGCTTATCTGTTACACGTATAAAAATAATTATGTCATATGAAATAACCGTATAGACGACTTTGTTAATGGCTGCAGCTGACAACTTATTTTGAAGCATACTTCTGAAAGATGCTTGTTGTAGCCTCTGAATGAGAAAGTTTAGGGTGCTTTCAGAAAATAGATTCACCTACTGTTCTAACACCAAAGTTCTATACGATGTGATTTCCACTGCAGAGTGATGTCATCGGCTTTCAGTTACTTTCCTGTCACTTTCTGCAAACCAAAAGTTTGAAACAGTTAGTCCGTTTTATGAATTTCAACAGCGTAGTCAGAAGACGAAGGTTATCTGAGCAATGTGATGTATTTGCGCAATACATTTCGAACAATCTGATCACACATTTACTTGTCAAGTAAATATATGTTAAACCGAGGACTGGGAGGGGGGATAAATACAACTCATCTTTCTTAATTTTAATCCTCTATTGTGTTAATTGTTGTATTTATCCCCCCTCCCAGTCCTCGGTTTAATATATATTGACTTGACAAGTAAATGTGTGATCAGACTGTTCGAAATGTATTGCGCAAATACATCACATTGCTCAGATAAACTTCGTCTTCTAATTACGCTATCGAAAAACCAAGTGTTAATCAGTTGTCAAACTTTTATTTATTCGTCTATTTGAAAGTCAGCTGAGTTATTACATTGAGATGAAGCCTATCTTCCAACAGAATGCTTCAAAAGGTATTTATCAGAAAAGTAGGTTGATTTAAAACTAATATTTAAAAGTATGTATACATTTTACTATGTCAACCTAGGTTGTAAATCAACTGTTTATGGGTAACGTGTAATCATGTATCTAGAGAAGTAGTGTTCAGCTTTTTAACGTGCACTCCATATTTAACGACGAAATCTACAGACAGATAGATCGCATGATTATATGCTGACTAGTAATGATTGACTGAATAAACTTAACACCCATGCAAGTTTTGTCAATATTAACATTATTTATTTGAAGTTAGATTGCAATTGATCACATTTATGTCCTGTTTCTCAAATACTGCAACACTGTTACACACAAACACACACTGTTACATATTCTTCATTGATATGTTGTGATTGGATGTTTTAGAGGTTAAATCAATTGCCTAATAAGTAAATCTGTGATATCACTTTCACATATGAACATCTAACCTACTTATTTCCGTGTTGTGCGCATACAAATTAATGCTACAAAAATGCGGAGTAAGTCATCATCCCTACAGTCAGAACACCTTTCTACTACTCGTAATAACCACCATCACTATTCTCAGAAACAAGAGCAACACCTTGTTCGATTACCGTATTATATTCTATTGGTAGCATTATTCCTGTCTTTATACTTCTTGGCTACATCACTAATTATGGATGATAACTTATTTGGTAAGTGTATAAACTCAACTGTATTCACTTTCACAATACTTATTTAATGTATCTACTTTCACATCTTAGTAATGTATTATTATACAGCTAAGTCATCCTAATAAAGTTTTGAATTTTGCCTGCAAATTACAATTAGAATAAACGTATAGCTACTATACACCTATATGTTGATTATTCGGTCGCCTGATCTACCGCATATCAAATCGATTCAATGTGTAGTGAAAATAATAAGAATTAGGCGCTTTTTCTGTCTCAGATTAAAAATATGAAATATTCTTAAGATTTATATAACTATGATGAATAACAGATAATGAGGGACATAGCGTCTCAGTGTTATTACAGTCGTCTTCTACCTCTCGCTGAAGACAGAAGTTCTTCTTGAGATAAGTGCAGAGACACGATATAATATTTTACCTACATGAGCATCGTACGTCTATTTGTAATGAACTTATGGAATAAACTGAAATGAAATCTGTGAAATCGAATATAATGAGTTAAAACGTGTTAAAAAAAAACAGGCTTGACAACCGCTACTTGCTTAAGTGAAAGTTATTGCTTCTGATAAGGCTAAATCTTTCCGCCTAACCATAGAGCTGTATCTTAAAGTACTAAAAGGATCTAAAGAATTTCAAGTTACCAATATAGCATTCAAACACTGCATCCAGTATATGTTTAATCTTAAATCAGCTAGGTGTTAACATAAATTTCACTGCAACTTTGCAATATTTCTCTTCAAACAAACCCAAAAAGCTTTCGGATAAACCAAAACCGATTACTTTATTTACATCGCATATATCTGAGCTTAGAAAAGCTTGGAAATTCGAAATGAGATTGTAGTTGAATAACTGACTTCTGAAGTTATAAGCAAACTAGTTAAATAACTTTGAGGAGACTATATGAGATGAACATATCACTTTGTATCGGATGAACTGACAAATTATTAACAGGAATTCATTTGTAATTAACATTTAATGTGGCCTAAATGAAACAATGTAAACTAAAGTGATCATTTCTTGAAAATTTCAGCATTATCTGTCTAATTCAGTCTCCAACTGACTAAATTTTGTTGAAAATACCTGATTGTATAATTTGAGGTAGATAAGCAGCTGTAAGTAGTTCTAGCTCTTCTGTCTATTTAACAAAATGATAAAGGAAATTCCAAATAAAATTTTGGTCAGTCAGCTTTGTGTTAAAATAACTTCGATGTTAAGGCAAGAAAATTTATCTTTTTGGGACTCAGTTAGTTTTCCTTCAGTATCTCTTTAGTCATAACTCTTAAAAGAATAAGTTATTCAGCTAACTGAAAAAAATCTTAAAAACATTAAAAAATCAAACATAAACTTCCTTATAGAATTATCTTTTGAATTATCTTGAGATTCAATAGTTTGCCATCCAACTTCTTTCTTTAAACATTTTACTGAGTACTTCATAACGCTTTGTGATTTGAAAACGATTTTTAGCACCATCAATCACTTTTCAGCATCAAGTTTAGCTAGAAATGGTGACTAGAAGTGACTTCATTCTACAGTTCAGTAGTTGGGTCTTCATTGTCATACCAAGTAAAACAACTGGCTCAGATTTCTAGGAGTTTAGTCACAAAGTTTATCACGTCACTGTCTTAACAGTTTGTCCTGTGATGTAAAGTGCATATATTTAATGGTGTACCATACCTAAAAATGTTTGTCAGTATAAACTGTTTCGGTTTGAAACATTGCTAGTGAGCTATTAGATACAAACACTTCTCTAAGTGCTTGAAAATATGGGCAAGCATTACTTTTCTTGACTTGACATATGCACCCAGAGAATGAGTGCTGATTGACTGAAACCGTTTTTTCAATATTTAATACAATTGTATTCCGAAATGAATGAATTAGTTCGATGTCTCGGTGTCGTATTCGACGAACAGTATCCAGTCAGTAGGCACAACTGTATGGTATGACTACTGTTACTATGCACTGAACAGTTAGCGTCTACCGAAGTCAACAGAAAGATCAAATTCACATCACTAAAGGATGTTCATTTTCTTATCACATTAAATTAAACTTTATTTGCATAGTTAAGGAATGGATTGAAACAATCCTGCATACGGTCTTAGTATAAAAGCCTGTGGAAGCACTTAGCAATAATACCCAAAAAATCCTGCATTCTAGTCACGGGGGAATAGTTCCATTTAAAAATAGTTTTTAAAGATATATGCTTCTGCTACACAGTTATTGTACAATAAATGAGTCAAAGTGAACAACGCTAATTTCTGTGTCTTGCTAACTTGTACTTCAGTTGCTTTTGCACTGAAATCTCTAGACCAAATATTATTCACGTTTAACTGATATATACCTTCAAGTGAAAAATGTCAACCATCTTAATTTATTATAATAAATACACCTAAAAAGCAGTCAGGGTTACTTGAAATCCTCTTGATTTCATAATTGTAAGTAAGTAAGTGCACGAAATCTTGACCATTAAATTGCGAATGTTCTAAAATGATGTCATAGAAGCTTGAAAACCAAAAACGAAATAATCTTTTATTCACGTAAATTAACGTTAGAAATTTGTTTAATTTCGAGGGAGTTTACCACATAAATTGATATTAGTTAATGAACTACCGAAAGGCAAGGAACGTTGAACATTTGCCAGATCTGTATGGAGAAACAAGTAGTGATCCTGTAGTTTCTTGAATGAAATACTGAATTCTCTTGATTTTATTTACCTAGTAAGTGGACAGCGCTGATAGAAACCTGTGGATCAGGCTTGAAATATGGTCACAAGAACATATGAAGGGATAATATGATGCACAGAATTTAGTGTTATTGCATAAAAATCAATCGACAGGAAGTAATGAATTTAGATTTCACACTTCGTAACACTGAACAGAAAGGCTAAGTCATAATCATGGTGAGACTGGTATTTTCTCGGAAATTCGAACCTATGCCGGTCCTATTCCTATCGAAAAACCCCAATCAGTGCTGATCTTCGGGGACCAGACAAATGCTGTATTTGTTGCCATACGATGGCTGATTACTGTATATATTTTATTATTTTTATAGGGGGTCACTCTTGATCTGAATAACGTAATGGTGAAGCCCAAGACTTTAATAATGAGAGGTATAAGTTCAAGTGTTCAACGAAACATTAGTTTCCTGAATGATAAGTATTAGAAAGAGTGGAAACCTAAGTCCGTAGCTATCTGACGATTAATTTATAACACCTAACACCATATTGAAGCGGCGTTACATCAACAAATTGTAAAAGACACATGATGAATGAAACATAAATTCATGGTTCATGATTGAATTATTTCTTTTGGACTTAACTAATCTAATTTAATGCTTCAGTGTCCCCTATTAGGTATGTTCTAAAGCATTATCAAACTCTTCATGCTCGAACTTTATTTAAGAAGAATCACATGCCACAAAACAATGCTGTTTACGGTTTATTTGGACAACGTTATCTCCTTTAAATTTCGGATGATGAAAACATTGGTAAAACAGTAAGTAGAAACTAGGTCAAGAAAGTAGTTAAATCGACGGAAATTTCAGAAACTCTGTGTGAGATCAAATGAAATCAACTTTTACAGAGAAATGATTGAACTTTTACTGTATTTTATGGTATATGGATGAAGTATGGGATATTTAATTCGTTACGACTGACAGTAGAGCAACCTACAACGACAGTCAATTTGAGATGATCAGTATACAGGAAACTCAAACAAGTTGTCAACTGAAGTGAGCATTTATTTGGTGCAACAAATGAAGATTTTGATAATATGACACATCGGAAAATAGAGAACATCCGAAGAACGAATTTTTTTCAGAGGGGCTCGGCATTCTGATCCAGCCAACCGACAAGTACTGTTGGGGACTCAGTGCCATGAATACTAAAATTTTAGAAGTAAGAAGTACTGGAAGCCTTATATAGCCAAATTACCTGTGCTTCAAAAGGTACTCTAACTTCATCAAAAAATCTTAAAAAAACGGAAAATTGACACTTTAGAGGAGGACACTAATGCTGAAATCGATGACTAAATTGGTGATGGTATAGATAGAAGAAATAGTCGCTTTTATTTTTGAGATTAGAATGTAAGTGGTGAGACGTATTATTCTGACAAAGAGCGAAGCAAATGAAAATTTTCAAAATAACTATTCATATGTTTGAACAAATTCAGTTCAAAAATGAAAATCATAAAATATCATTCAAAAATGTCCTCATCAAGACGAAATGTAAAAAAAACTCTGTATACACTGAACACATTTTTAGCTTCACCAGTAACATCTTTAGCAACCGCTTGGTACATATGTAAAAATCCTATTGTAAACAGGAATCACTGTGATTTAAGAATCTACAGAAACTGAAGGAGTATTACTTGTGTAAATATGATTGTTAATTTCAAAATATTCACACATTGCACAAATTACGTCCGCAGTTGTTACAACTAAGTAGTTTACAAACCATTCAGGTGCATTTCTCACACGGTTTCCATTAGAAAATCCAAGACTAAGAACATCATCTGTAAACTCTGAGATAAAAGTACTATAAAACAACCAAATTGGCAAGGAAAGGACGTAATTTTTGAAAACATCGCCTACACTATTTTAAAGGTGTCACCAATTACACCAAGCTTATGCAGACACCAGACAGTTTCTTCATTTATTTATGACTCATTTTACTACTGGTGTACTAGAATAAATTTGGCTATATTAATGAAGTCATTTAGACTACTGATAACTGTGCAATTTGTAGATAATGTACAAGCAAAGGCCCACTTTTGTTATCTAAACTCACTTAATATGAATAGCCTTCGTCTGTTAGCTGAATCTAACGCAGTACAACACTTATATACTCATTGTCAAACTAGTCAAATGCCTGTTTTATGTGAAGATTTATTGTTTCATCAGTGTCAGATATGTCTTACTTTTGAGTTGTTCAGTAGTTTATCCATATTGTGTTGAGAAGTTAATGATTATTCACTAATTTGGTCAAAAAATGTTTTGTTAGTTGGATGT